TTTTTGGATGATTGTTTCTTCTGGTATCAGATGCTGTGCAGCTGGAAGGATTTTTACTGAAGCTTTTTTAGTTTTGGACATTTGTTATGATGCGTAACCATGGCAACAATGTGTTTTCTACAACTGGGATCAGCTGATTAACATCTCAAAGCTCAAATAATACCTCAACTACAGTCCCAAATCCCAAATGAGTTATAAAGGAGCCGCCGTGGATGCATCTCCGTCTATCTAGTGGCGGTGCTCGAGTACCTGATCACCAAAATCCCGGAGCTGGCGGGAAACGCGGCTTGTGACAACAAGAAGTCCAGGATCATCCCCAGGCACCTGCATCTGGCTGTCTGCAATGATGAGGAGCTCAACAAGCTGCTGAGACGAGTGACCATCGCTCTGGGAAAAGTTCTGCTCAACATTCAGGTGGTCCTGCTGCCCAGGAGGACTTAGAGTCTCACCAAGTCCAGCTGCTGCCTCTCAGTGAGCAGGTCCTTGGTTCAAATCCTGGTTCAGGGGCCTTTCTGGGTGGAGTTTGCATGTTCTCTCTGTGGGTTTTCTCCGGGTACTCCGGTTTCCTCCCACAGACCAAATACATGCATGTTAGGCTGATTGGTAACTCTAACTTGTCCCTAGGTGTGAGTGAGAGAGTGAATGGTTGTTTGTCTCTATGTGGCCCTGTGATGGACTTGCGACCCGTCCAGGGTGTACCCCGATCCTCGCAGTGATTGCTGGACATGGGCACCAGCGACCCCCATGACCCAAAATGGAAGAAGCGGGTAAAGATAATGGATGGACATATACTGTATATATAGCAAGTAAAGACAGGAGCAGAGTAAGTGTTCCCTTACAATAGTTTTCTTTTTCTTTGTTAAATATGATCTAGATATTTGTATAAATACAGTATTTACTGTTAGTCTGGCAACACTGCCAGCATTAGAGTTATGAGGGAACGCAGTATTGTTTTTTTTTTTTATGTATGTTTTACTTTTTCTGGCTCCTTTTCGTCCCTTTTCTGTTTATCGTCGCCATTTATTACCACGTGGTGGCGCTACTCTACATCTCCGCAGGTTTGATGAACCGAACACTGGAGAAGATGGACAAGAAGAAGAAGAACGCGGAACAAGTATTTCGAAATCAGCTGTTAAAAAAGTAGCTTAAGTAAACAACGGACCGGAAAAAGGTAATACAAAGATTCAGTAATTATTTTACCTGCAACTGCACCTGTACATTACTTTTCATTTGCATCCGAAAAATGCACACAAAATGTTAAATGTATGTTTGCAGCCATCACTCCCGGTTCAGTTAGCGTTCATTTAAAATCGTAACATGCTAACCTAGCTAGCTAGGTGGCTAACAAGGAAAATAACAAGTTTACGTTTCTGTTCCTTAACCATGTTTGTATATTAACGATCTAGTTCACGTTTCTACGTTAAATAAGGCCAGTTTTTTTCAGTTAAGGGAGTAGTTTGCATTCATATACAGCAGCTAAGTTTAGCCAGAAAACAACTTAAATGTTGATATTTCCTGCGACAGCTAGAGGCTAGCTGTTAGCTCAGGTGCTAGCAGCGAGAGTCACCTTTGATTAAAAGTTGTTTATTACCTAAATGTCGTTTTTTCTCAGTAACGGATTCTTATTTTGGTCATTTTAAGGCTCCGTGAAAGCTAACCGTGATTTAATTGTACTTTTATTCTTTTCAGTTATCAGTGTGACATTTTCCTGACTAAACTGAATTCACAGATATCTAAAAAAGTAACCTTTAACAACACCCCTACAACAGGAAAACTATATTAAAACTCCTACCTGAGATCATATTATAAAAAAAAATACAATTTGAAGATGAAATATAAATATACAAGTCCAAAAAGATTTTAAGTGGCAGTTTAAACATTTAACTGTTATATCCTGATGTATGCTCAATAATCCAGGTAGAAAAATCTAACAAAGTTGTCAGGTCTTCTAAACAGATGCAAAAAGTAACAAATAAAGACCAAAAATTGTTGAAACGTTTTGTTTTTAATCCAAAAAACTGTCAGTCTGAGGATCTGTCTAATAAATAGCACCTTCTCAGTGGACCAACTAGTTTGTTGTTGACATTCAAAATCCAGGAGGACCATCATCCTAACAATAAATCGTGCATCATTGTCGTTCATCAGATCAGTCATCAGTACCCTGATGGTCGCTTGCTATTCGTATATCATGTGAACAGCTAGTTTTGGATTTCAACAACAAACTATGCTAACTGTGCTATTTATAAGACTGAGCTTCTTACAGCTCCTCAGACTGACAATCTTTTGGATTAAAGACAAAATGTTTCAACAATTCTTCATTTTTTACTTTTTGCATCCGTCCTGAGGATCTGACTTCACTTTGTTAGATTTAACTGCGATGTTATAGATTTAATGTATCTATCTTACTTCTTGTCACTTTTCAGTTGAGTTTCATCCATCCATTATCTTTCCCCGCTTCTTCCTTTTTAGGTTTGTGGGGGTCACTGGTGCCCATGTCCAGCTATCACTGTAACTGAGGTGGGGGACACCCTGGACAGGTCACAAGTCCATCACAGGGCCACATAGAAACAAATGAGACAGCCATTCACTCTCTCACTCACACCTAGGGACAATTTAGCTAGTCTAACATGCATGTTTTTAGAATAAATTATATAATTATTTTCAAATGTATATTTTGCCAGGAGACATTTCTGATATCTCCAGTATAATCATTGCTATAATTTTTGTTTAACCTGTTCAAATAACATTAGAACAAGTTTTATTAGATATCTTAACAAATCTTTCATAACAAAGACTTAATAATACCACATAATTTTGAATAACTAAATTATAACGTACAGTACAGTCAGTAACAACAGCTTCTGTCTGTAAAAAATATCTGTCAGACATGAACGGTTTTCATTGTTTTAGGAGGAATGTATTTGTGGATTTCTGAGATTGCTGCATTAAAATGGACATGATTATAATTCTTTATAGATAGTTTGAGAAATCTGAAATTTTGATTGTAGATGGGACAATATAGTCTTATCTTTTTCTACCTCCTCCATGTACAGGTTTGCAACAATAGGAGAAACTGGAACCCCCATAGCACACCCATGTTTCTACCTATAATATACCCCCTCCCCCCCCCCCCCAATATGTGAAGTAGATTGACTGGTCTACAGACCAGTGTCATTCTGTATGTTGCAGGAGTTTCAGAGAAATGGAGACATTTATTTTCTAAACACAACGTCCCAGTGGCTTCCAAACGCCAAAATACATTATGGCAAAGACTGGTTCATCCCAAAGATCCAGTCCCACGACACAAACAGAGTAATATTGTGTTTTTTTATTATTTTTTTATTGCTCTTCAGTGCCAAGAGGGCTGTGATCAGTTTTACATCGGGGAAACTAAACAGCCACTGGCCAAAAGGATGGCCCAGCACAGAAGAGCAGCACCATCAGGCCAGGACTCTGCGATCTACACTCATCTCCAGGCCAGCGGCCACTCTTTCAGGGAAGATGGTCACATCCTGGATAGAAAGGAACAATGATTTGAGAGAGGAGTGAATGAAGTCATCTTTGTGAAGAGAACCTGTCCATCATTAAACAGGGGCGGAGGCCTCCGTGCTCAACTGCCCCTTCTTACAATGCTGTTATTGCTAGTATCACTGACGGACCCCTGTGAGTAGCAGGCGGCCATCAGGGCACTAACGACCAGTTGTTAGGCTGATGGTCCTCCTTTTGAATGTGAACAGCGAGTTCTGGATGTCATCAACAAACTGGTTGATCCACTATGAGAATTTGTTGCAGCTCCTCAGACTGAAAACATCTTTTGGATAAAAGACAAAATTTTTCAACAAAGAAGAATCCGTCCAGAGGACCTGACTCAACCTTGTTAGATTTATCTACCTGGATTATTGACCGTTCGTCAGGACGATTAGCAACTAGGTTTTCTTTGCGTTCCACAAACTTGAATTTTCTGAGCTTTTGCGTTCGCTCTGTGTTTGTTAGGGATGTCCGGAGCTTGTGAGGCGCTGACCCGACTCTGAAAACACCTGCCAAGATGCCTGCAGTATCTACAGGGGTCAAAGAGCTGTATTTATCCACATCTCTGGGTGACCTCAACAGAAAAGCCGAAGTAAAGCCAGACAAGACGAGCACCAGAAGGTACTGATGTGTGTGTTTAGTGTTTTTGGCCCAGTTATGGTGCAGAAGTGATAACATTTGCTCAGGATAAGTAAGAATTACCAACGTTTTGCTGAAGGCTGCAGTCCTGACCTGAGGACCCTCCAGCTCCATGCTGATGGTGTTCATGTTTCTGTGTTACAGCTATGTTCAGAGTGCCTGCAAACTTTTCAAGGCGGCGGAGGAGAACCGTCTGGACCGGGATGAGGAGAAAGCTTATGTGCTGTACATGAAATATTTAACGGTATACGATGTTATTAAAAAGAGACCAGACTTCAAACAACAACCGGTAAGAAGACCCATCATTGATCATTTTACTTTTAGGGTGGTGTCTCTTGTTTTAAAACGCTGCTCCTTTCTGTTCCCGTGTCCTGTAGGAGTATTACATAACTATGCTGGGGCCAAACAGCTTTAAGAAAGCCATCGAAGAAGCTGAGAAGCTGTCTGAAAGCCTTAAACTCAGGTCTTTGCTCACCCCATCTTTTTATTCACATGCTGCACGGGCACCTCGTTTTGGGTTGACTCTGCTGGTTTTTATTTGAAACAGGTACGAAGAAGTCGAGGTCAGAAAAAAACTGGAGGAGAAGGAGAGATTAGAGGAGAAGAAGAAAAGGGAGGAGGAAAGTGAGAAAAGAAATGACCGGAGCTCTCCGAAAACCTCGGCCACAAACAGGAAGGACAGCAAGAAGGTAAAATTACTATCACTATTGTTTAAAACATTAATTGTTATGTAAAATCTGCTTAGTGAAAATTTCAGGCTGTAAAAAAGAGGATGCTGCTTGTTCAGGTGCCAAAGAACAAACGGATGGACCTAATGTATTATCTAATTACTTAAATAATTACAGCGTTACCTTATTCCTGTTCACTAATAAACACTTAATTACACAGACTGACTAACTCGGTATTCTACACAATTACTTAGAAACCAAAATAATTAACATTACTTACATATTTATTTACATTTGACTTCCTTTGACTGATTTCTTAATTATTTATTATCTAATTACTAATTTACTTAATTACCTATTACTTTTCTTATTAAATGGACTGACAATTTATATGAAATTATATAGTTATTACTTGCATAATTACATAATTAACTATTTATGAATCACTAAATTATTACTTATTTATTAACTAATTACTTAATTACCTACCAGTAATTACTTCCCTTTCCCTACCTATTTACCGATTTATTACCCAATTACTACTATTTACCCATTTCTTACTACATGTTGCTTACCGTATCATAATTACCTTTTTTTTGCCAATTTATTTACTTTATTCTCTTACTTTTTCCACTTATTTTCTTTCTTACTTGCATAATTCCTTTACTTATTTTATTTACTTAGTTTCTTACATAGTTTACGTTCTTGCTGAAATAATTTTTCTGACTCATTTAATTACTTTTCTTTCTTACCTTTTATTTTCTTAGTTATTTTACTTTCCTATTTTCTGAGATTATTTAATTTTTTAATCCCACTCTGGGACGTTGCGTCACTGCAGCTGCAGATAAATCAACAATTTGAACATTAAAACGTGTTAAAATACAAAATCTGAATCAAACGGATTGAAGCTGGAAGTCAGAGGTGACATTTACTCAGAGGGGACAGAGTTAGTTTGTGACGGCAGGAAGGGTTTCCTGAAGAGTCTGTTGGAGAAGATGCTCTCCTGCTGGTCGGGTGTGAGGAGGTGGTGGTTCTGGATTTTTCTTTATAGTCCAGTTTGTCCCTCATCTTTTTCTCCACCAGCCAGAAAAACAAATGCATGATGGTCACCTTGTTGTGTGTGTTCCAGGTGAAAGGAGAGCAGAATGAGCTGAAGAGCGTCATCACTAAAGGTAAATTAAATCAAATATTGCAACCAACCTAAATTTCTGAAATGTCAGGTCAATCAGTCAATCAATCAATCAATTCAACTTTATTGTCCATAACATTCAATGAAATGGAGATTTGTCTTTGACACCTGGCTTATACTTGAACCGGTGACTGTGTGTGCTGCAGCTGCACAGCCGGCAGGCGGGATCACAGCGGAGAAACTTTTCCACATGATGAAGAACCAGACCATCTCCATAATCGTCATGGACGCCCGCGGCCACAGAGACTACGAGGAGTCCCACATTCAGGTCGCGGGTCAGATCTGCATCAGCGTGCCCGAGGAGGCCGTTAGTCCCGGGTGAGACCCTCAGACCTGAATGAGTCGACGCTGCCTGGGTTTAGTCTTGGTTTGGGTTTATGAATTAGATTTGTATTAATGTATTGAAAACAATTTTTCATCTTCCACTTAAGGAGCGAGCTCTCGTTTTGTTTTTCTTCCTAAATGAGCCGCGTCCCATTTAATTATTGACTTTTTATTAATGATAAGATGTGTTTTAGGGTAAATAATAAGTTTGTTGTTATTTATATTTGATGGAGCACTCCCAACAGCTGTTTTTTTTTTTTTTTTGTGTGTGTGTGTGTGTTTATTATTTTACATTTTAAACAAAAGGTCAGCAGGAAGAACTAAATTCACATGCTACATAATGCAAAGTTTCTAAACTCAACAAGTAATCGTTTTTAATAATCTGGAATATAATGTCAACCAAAATAATCTGATTATTTTCTCTATAGATGAGTGGCTCAGTTTAAATGTAGTTTAAAGTTAATAAATATAAATAAAAACATCTGTTCGAGTGTTCTGTCAGACGTCCTGAACATTTTTATCTCATCTTCTCAGAATCACTGTGAATCAGATTGAAGCGAAGCTGCCCGACGCGTCCAAGGATCAGTGGAGGCGGCGAGGATTTATGGATTATATAATCCTGCTGGACTGGTTCAGCTCAGTCACGGACCTTAAATTAGGCACCACCTTACAGAGCCTTAAAGATGCCCTCTTTAAGGTATTTCTGCATACGTCTGCTTTGCATTTTGTGGGAGGAAGAAAATCTAATATGTATAAATGATGTTTCTCAAACTTTGCAGTGGGACAGCTTGACCATTTTGCGTAGCGAGCCGCTGGTTCTGGAGGGAGGCTACGAGAACTGGCTGCTGTTTTACCCCATGTACTCGAGCAACGCCAAAGTTCAGCCCCCGAGACGGACGGTCGTCAACAGCCTGCCTCAATGTGAGCACCTTCAGCCTGGACGAAACTCACAGCTTCGGCTCCTTCTGATGAATCCGTCCATGGCTTTAACCGTTTTCTTGTTATGAACTTAAACTCAGACAAACAGCAGACAGACGTTTCCTTCCACTCAACTTGGGCGTGATTGTTGCATTAAATTTGGGCTTTAATGCTTTTATTTGAACAGTTCTTTCTCCAGGATGAAACGATTCTACAACTTCAATCATGCTACAAAACAAAAACTGGAGGCTTATGTTTGAATTAATTGTGGATTTTCTCTAATCTGCACAGGATCAGCATTATGGCATCTATACTTTCACCTAAATCTTATAATAAGAGGTGCTTTAGGTTCTAGAAGGACTTTTTAACTTCATGAGTTTATGGTGCCACAGAGAAACTCCCTGCTGCGAGCAGCCGTGGTCGCTAACGAGAAGTTAAGTTTGGGGTCGAGTTAGCAAAAGCAGTTTTAGAAACAAAAGAAGCTTGTCCTTCTAAATGAGTCAGAACGAGCTCAGGCTGCGGAGCAAAATAAGTACAAATGTGGATTTCTGCCTTTGAGACTTGCAAACTAACGAGTCCATAGAGACTCCCCATCTGTTAATCCCAGGAGCAACAAGCGGTACGTCTTTTTTAAACCGACGCACTCCTAAACAAAAGCAGCTTGAAGCCTTTATGATGGAGGATTTAAAAATTATCTTTTAATTTTGAAACATACCTTATTAATTAATTTTGCTGCACAGGTCAAATGCTGGGTCACTCAAAGGGCGGGGGGTGGTGGTGGGGTGGGCAGGAAGTGTAGATCGACTTTGCAACTTTTTTAAAGAATGAACTTCAGGAGCTGTTTAGGGTAAACTGTTTGTGCATCAACCAAAAATGTTCAACTTTTCCTGAGAAGTGAAATTTCAGTTTGTTCCCAACACTCCCGACGGCTTTCTTTTATAAAACGTTTGTAAAGAACAGGAAATGTTCAAATAATTTTACTGCCCAACAGACAGGATTAAAATAATCTGCTGTTTCTTTTCGAGTCAGCTCTTCTTTAAATTCTTCCTTCAGCTGATCTTCTGTGCTGTTTCAGTGAACTTTAGCTACCCGTCTTTAGAGGAACCACAACCTCCGACTCCGGTTCAGACGGAGCCTGAAGTTTCACCTGAGCCTCCAGAACCATCGGCTCCTGCGTTGGTGAACGGGGTAACACCTGCCGAGCCTCCAGCATCCAAAACCTCCACGGTTGTTGACACTGTTGAGGTCCCCGTCTCTGGTTCCACGACTCCTGGGCTCGACCTAACCAAGAGGGCCGACCAGCCTCCTGCGACAGCCAGATCGTTCCCCCAGGTGCTTATTTCACCCGCCCTGAGAAGTTTTTAACAGATGTGTATAAATAAGAGTCGTGTTTGTGTTTTCTGTTGCAGTTTGACCGTACCAAGAAACCGTCTGTCCCAGATCCAACTAAACCCAACCAGAAGATGGACTCCACCCCGAATGGTCCGGCTATCCCCGATCGCTCCGTCAAACCGGCGTTCAGCCCCAACGCTGCTCTGTCCAAAGACGAACAGAAGCAGATACACTCCGAGGTGGTGGCCATGAAGGAGAAGGCGAGACAGGAGCAGGAAAAACGCAACCAGGAGCGCCGTTTGGAAGAGGAGCAGAAGGAGAAGGAGACGAGAGAGAGGCTCGAAAAGGAGGAGAGTGAGAGGAGGAAGGAGGACGAAGAGAAGAAACATCAGGAGAAAAGGAGACTCGAGAGGCAGAGAGCAGAGGAAGAGGAGGACAAAGAGAACCGGGTCTGGGATGAGAGGGAGAGGCCGAGTTCTGACATTCCTTCAAAGAGCATGTCTCTGGACTCGCCTGCTCCGAACCGCATCATCAGTGAAATCAAGGTGAGGTCTTCCTGTCTGCACTTTGGGGCTTTATTTCCACTTCTGGTCTGATGAGAAACTGCAAAAACCAAACTGAAAGGACTCTTCATCCATCCATCCATTATCTTTTACCCGTTTCTTCCATTTTGGGTCACGGGGTCGCCAGGTTGTCCAGCAATCACTGTGTGAGGGGCGGGGTACACCCTGGACAGGTCGCAAGTCCATCACAGAGTAAAATAAAACCTGTTAAGGAGCGCCGGAGCTACAGCTCAGTCAGAAGGCAACACAAGAAGAGAGCGCTGCCACAAATCTTCCATTAACCATCAAAGATGGCTGAACCTTCTCTTTATTATTGTCTGTAGGCGTGTTTGTGACTTGATGAAACAATCATTTGACCTTTTTACGTGTGTTTCCTTCAGAGGGAGCCTCTGACGCGAGCGAGGAGTGAGGAGATGGGACGGAGTGTCCCGGGTCTTCCAGACGGCTGGATGAGGGTGCGTCACGTTCAGAGCTCACACATGTTCAGGTCAAATGTCTCTTCTTATTAGAAGGTTTGAACTGAGGACCTTTTCTTTTCCTGGATAGTTTCTCGACACGGTGACTGGCACCTTCAGATACTATCACTCCCCCACCAACCGCGTCCACCTGTACCCCCCGGAGGTCACGGTCCCTCAGACTCCTCCCTCCACACCTCCGACGGTCAAACCGAAGCCGTCGGCTGAGCCCGACACCGAGCACGAGCGAGAGCAGGAGCAGTCGAAGCTGAAACGCTCCTACTCCTCTCCGGACATCAGCCAGGACCTGAGAGAGGAGGCCCAGAAGAAGACCGCCGCCGTCACCGCCACCATCCCCAGCATCAACAGAGACACCAAGTAAGATTCATTCAGCGTCCTGAGCACTGATGTTCACGGTTCAGGGTTAATGTGCCGGGACAACCAGGAGCTTTTCATCTTTTACAGGTTTGAAGAAGTTTGACTCTTTAATAAAAACAAATATATTTTCAGCTTCAAACGTCAGACTTTCTAAAAATAAAAATCACAAACAACAGAATGCGTTAGTGTTAAGCCAACTGTAATTCTTCTAGTTTGCTTCTGAACTCTCGATTTCTGAAAGAAACCTTTAAAGAAAAGAATAATATAAATGTACAGATCTTAAAACTGAACCAGTGTACAAACTGAATTTTAGTAAAATTACAAGTTTTCTGAAGGCCCACACTTCCAAAATGTTTGAAAGTTTGTAAAAGTGCTTGTTTTAAAAATGTAAATTAAATCCTTCTACTTCCATCTGGTGGTCAAACACGAACACTTCATTCTGCCTGACTCCAGACAAATTAAAATTCATTTTAAATTAAATCTATAAAAGAAAAACCTGACAGTTTATTGAGTCAGCTTGGTTATATGCTTTTAAATAACTTGTGCCTTATTCCTGGAGTTTTTGTTGCACCTTTTAACGGACAATAAGAGAGGAATAAACTTGTTTTATTATTTCTGGTTTTAATTTATTTGCCAGAAAATATATAGATTTCTCTCTTTAATCCCGGCTCTTTTAGGACGGTTGTAGACCTAATTTGTGTTTAAAGCTGGAAAACTTCAAAATCTGCTTCGTTTCCTGACAAATGTCAGTTTGTCAGTTTAGATACTCTAAGAATGCAGCACATATCTAAATCAGTTTAAACTTTGGCATTTATCCTGCTAAAATGTTTGTTTGTTCTGAACACACAACAAAGGAAGAAATCAAAAGTTGTAATTAATTAATATTATCTTAATTCTTGCACTCCCTGTCAGAGTAACTCCACTTCCTGTTTCACCTAAAACCTGGTCCAGTCTCTCCTGCTGTGTTTCTCTCCTCCAGACCTCCCAGCTTAAAGGTTCATTCTAAGGCAGAGATCGTTCGACCATCTGCTGCTAAAATCCGTAACCTGAATCCCACGTTTGGAGGTTTGGGCGCTTCGCTGACTGGCCTTCGTAACTTGGGCAACACGTGCTACATGAACTCCATCTTGCAGTGTCTCTGCAACACTCCCGGGATGTCCGAGTACTTCAACAACAACTACTACCTGGAGGACATCAACAGGTCGGGTCTCGGCTCGGTGGAGTTGACTTCCTGTCAGGTCGGTGCAGACTTCTCAGTCTCTGTTTTCTTTCTTCGACAGGGCCAACATTCTGGGTCATAAAGGGGAGGTGGCGGAGGAGTTTGCCGTGATCATACAGTCCCTGTGGGCCGGACAGTACAAGAACATCAGTCCTCGGGACTTCAAGAACACCATCGGCAAAATCAACGAGCAGTTTTCCGGCTACGACCAGCAGGACTCCCAGGAGCTGCTGCTGTTCCTCATGGACGGGCTCCACGAAGACCTCAACAAGGTACTTGTGTTCCAGGCCAGGACTGAGAACTAGTCCTGAAGTAAAGACGTTTCTTTTATTAGTTTCCCTTTTTTTCTGCCTTTTTTCACCGGGGTTCATTCTGATGAAAAACCAGAGAGTAAGTAGCGAGCTGTGTGTTGGTGGTGCTCCTCCTGCAGCTGTGTGAACGTGCCGTGCCTGCATCTGTCAGAACCTCTGTGCATGTAGACCCAACAACGTGCTCATTGCCTGGATTTGATTCCTGCTGCGTTCACGGGCGTTTTCAAACCGCCGAGGAGTCAATGAAAAAGACTGAATGAGAGTTTCTGAGTCTGGGTTAAAATTTAGATTTTTTTGTTTTCAAATTAATTATCAGGAACTGACGAACGAGTCTGAGTGAAACTCCAGGAAAGTTATGGTCGAATGAAAGTCTAAAGCTGATCACCTTTTCGAATCTACTCGATTCAAGATGGCCGCCACAGTAATGATCTAAAGAAACTCAAACATGTCTATAACTGAGTCACTTTTGCAGATGTTGAGCTTAAACTTTGTGTAATAGCTGAGAGTCATCCTCAACTCATACTCCACAGCTGTGGCGGCCATCTTGAATTAAAGTGGTCATAAAAGGTGGCGGACGATACGCATTTCTTTATTTCTTTATGATAATGATAACATGCTGATTAGGTTGTGATGAAGTGAATTTCTCGTGACAACACTCCTCATCTCATCTTGTTCCTTCTGTGTCATGTTCTGACCCATCTGCCATCAGGCTGGCCCGGTTCTGGTCCTGCTTGTCTCCACAGGATGTTAGCTTTGTGACATAAACTACCTAGAGCTGTATTCAGAGTCTGGCAGAAAATATTTGAGGCAAATGCTCAACTGTAAAAGCACCCTGGTGATATTTATAGAGAAACTGGTCCCCAAACCCAGTGAGGTACTGGTTTTAGGACCAGGTTATGTCAGTGAGACGACTGAGCTTTTTGTAGAGCTTCTCTTTGGTCAGCTGTTTTTGTTTAGTGGTCATCATAAAGTTCTGTGTGAGTTCTTTGTAAGACTATAGATTTGAGTCTGTCTCCATGAGTTGTTGGGTTCTAAAAGGACCATCATGATGGACGCTCTAACTTCATGCTCGTGACGCGTCGTGTTTTCTGCCTCAGGCCGACAACAGGAAGCGCTACAAGGAGGAGGAGAACGACCACCTGAACGACCAGGCTGCAGCTGATGTGTCCTGGAGCAAACACAAGATGCTGAACGAGTCCATCATCGTAGCGCTGTTCCAGGGCCAGTTTAAGTCCACGGTCCAGTGTCTGACCTGCCACTGCAAGTCGCGCACGTTTGAGACCTTCATGTACCTGTCGCTGCCCCTGGCCTCCACCAGCAAGTGCTCCCTGCAGGTCCGTACAGCGTTCATCATGTCTCTGTGTTTGCTTCAGGGTTTATACTTCAGTGTTGTGTGTGTCTGCAGGACTGTCTGCGGTTATTCTCCAAAGAAGAGAAGCTCACCGACAACAACAAGGTGTTCTGCAGGAAATGCAAAACCCACCGAGACTCCACCAAGAAACTGGAGATCTGGAAGGTTCCCCCAATCCTTCTGGTGCACCTGAAACGGTCTGTAGTCCTTCCAGCCAGTAATGATGTGAAGCTGCAGACGGTGTTCCCTGTGAATGCCGAGTCAGCATTATCACTGATTTCATGTTTTATTATTTTGTTCTACGTCTGTCCCGATCAAACAACTTCCACAGCTGTTTATCAAAACGTTCAGCTCGTTCAGGGCATGAGGCTGAGACTTCTGGTTTTCATGCTTCAATATTTCACTTTATTTACAAAGACAATAGAAATCTCCTCAGAGTCTTCAGATAGTGTCCTTGCAGAAATCTGCTTCAGCTACTGCCTGTCTTTGGAATCTTAAGCCATGTTTAGCTTTTAGTCACTGACTTAATTTACCTTTTAGGTAGTTTTGCTTTAAGCTGTGGTTTTCCTATGTTTAGGTTTCAACTGCTAATTTTAGCTTTTGTTTGCAGATTTCATTTTAGCTTTTTACTATGTTACTAAATTAACAAATTTAGCTTTTTGCCGTTGTTTTTCTGACTTAAGCTTTTAGTTGTAGTTTAGCTACTTTAGCTTTGGTTTTGCTCATTTAACTTATAGCTAGAGTTTTGCCACATGTAGCTTTCAGTCACTTTTTTATATTTTTTTCTTTTAACTACCTTTAGATAGTTTTAGGTTTGGTTTTGCCCATTTTAACTTAATACTAAGGTTTTGCTACATTAGGCTTGTACCTATTTTTGGTGCTAATTTTAGCTTTTCTAAAAAGTTTAATAAATTAAGCTTAGCTACTATTTTAGTTATTTTTAGCTTTTACTATGTCTTGTAAAACTTTAGCTTATATCTATGTTTGGCTTATTTTAACCTTTAGTTAATGTTTTGCTAATTTTAGCTTAGCTTGTTTTGGCTTATATCTATGGTGTAAGCTAATTTTAGCTTTTGGCTACTATTTTGCTAGATTTTGTTTTTGTCAGTGGGTTTTGTTATTTTAGCTTTTAGCTGCTGTTTAGATTTTTTTTTTTTTTTTTTGCTTTTACTGAGGTTTATTAGATTTTAGCTTTTCTTTGTGGTTTGCGTAATTAGTACTTTTAGCTGCTGCTCTGTTAATTTCTTCTTCTGCTCTGTTCAGTTTCAGCTACTTCAGCTCATTTCAGCTGTCATTTGTCACCTTTTTTCTTGCAATAATTAATTTTAATGCTTTAAAAGGATCAATAAAGATTTTTTTCAGATAATTTAAACATTTTTAATTGAATTTTTATTCCGTTTTTCAGGTTTTCTTATGAAGGTCGATGGAAGCAGAAGCTTCAGACCTCAGTGGACTTCCCTCTGGACTGTCTGGACCTGAGCCAGTACGTTATCGGGCCCAAACAGAACCTGAAGAGATACAACCTTTATGGAGTTTCTGTGAGTCAGGAGTTCTGTCCCTCATAAACATTTGTTCATTAATGTTTTGTAAGTTGGTCCTGGTCTCATCCGGATTTGTTTCCACCCCAGAATCACTACGGAGGCCTCGACGGCGGCCATTACACCGCCTACTGTAAGAACGCCCAGAAGCAGCGCTGGTACAAGTTCGACGACCACGAAGTGACCGACATCTCCGCCTCTTCGGTGAAGTCGTCTGCAGCGTACATCCTGTTTTACTCCACCCTGTGAACATGGCAACGGGGCGGCGAGGCTCCAGGTTAAGCTCTTTTCAGAACCGCAGTGGACGTGTCTGAAGCTGCGGGTCAGGAGGTCACACTGAGCCAGTGAGATCCTGGAGGCGCTCCGCGCAAAGCTTCAGCTGTTACAGCAGCTAAAACCTGCCGCTGCACATGTCACTGACATCCAGAGACTAAAGCTGCTCTCGTTAACCCGACCTTCATACTAGAGTTGTGTTTTAGGGCTGACAGCTGATCCAGACTCTCTTCGTGCTCGTCTCTGTTGTTCGGGGCGGACGGCGCCGCCGCAGAGCGGATCGCTGCCGTCTTGTACGCAGATTCAACAGTTAGATGTACATCCTTAACGATGCTGATGTTGCACATTCTGATTTCTTCTGTAAATACTGCAGGACAAAATGTTTCAGTGACCAAATTCTTTTTTCTTTTTTTGTTTTTATTTTTAAAAACACTCAGACAAGCAAAGTTTATTTTAGGGATTTAACTAAAGTTAGACATAAAGGTGGCATCTCACTGTTCTAATAACATTAATAAAGATGGACGGAGCTTCTCATCCTCCTGCTGTTCAGATATGAAGCCAAAGTGTCCTGTTCATGCGCGCTGCCATGTTGCTTTGGGAACAGTGTCAGCAGGAAGTGGGCTGTCCCCTCAGTGTGAAAGCCCCGCCTCCAAACCCTCCTAACTCACGGACAGGCTGTCAATCAAGCTTTTCTCTAAGACTTTAATAATTGAAACTTGAAAATGTATATTTGAACATACAGCTGCAAAGTATACAAATCAGCAAAAATCACCATTTCATTATTAGAATTTTTTTTGGTTTGTCAGGAAAATGTCACATTTATTTAACAGAAGGGGCGGGGCTTCAACGCTATACCAAGCCTTGCTAGTAGGGGCTGTCCAAAGACTGCTGTTACAGGTAGACCTTGGACCAGAACCAGTCAATTGAAGCCAGAACGGCTCACTTAAAGTGTCCAAAGATCCAACATGGCAGCTTGTGTGAATCGGCTCCTGCTGGCTTCATTTCTCACGGGGACAGGCGGTTCGTTAGTTTCATACCTGGTTCTGACCACAGTTGGAACACGTCTCCACGGCTGCAGCTAGTTGGTCAAACCTCTCCAAATGTCTCGCGACGTTTGCCGTGCTTTCTTCATGCGCCAAATTTGATCTCGTCATAAAAGTAGCAACGTAACATTGTGATGAGGCCAGAGCTCAGCCGGGGTAAAAAAAACAACAACATAAAAATCAACGTACTTTCTCAAATTCATGGTAAATTGAGCATATTTTCAGATCAGTATGAAGACTTGATGCAGTCTGAGCTATACGATAAGCGATGATTCCTGAACCTGGAGGGGTGGTAGAAGTACGTCAAATGGTTTTAGTTAGAATTTTTCAGAGTAAAATGGATCAGCTGGTTAAAGAACGGTGACATAAGTCAAACTGTTCTCACCACTAATATGAGTATTACAGTAAATATTTAGTAATTATTTTTGGTATTCTCAGATCTGGACAAATTCTTCCGACGTTTTAATGTTGACGCACCCCCTCCACTGATCTGTTGACTCGTTTACATTTAACATCCTTTTTTTAACCATCAGGAGTGAGCATTTCTCATATTTCTCATTTATCTGTCTTCATAATTTTTTGACAGGATGCAGAATCTGAAGTGCGTTGATTTTTGTGACGAGGAGTCCTTTTTACCCCCGTGTGACTTCACTAAGATTTTACTAAACGGCAGGGGAAGTCCAAGTCTAAATAAAACTGACGATTAAAAATGATCAAAACTGGTTCAGATCTAACCTTTATTTGTGCTGGTTTAAATAATCTCAGTGAGGGTGACCTCTGAGTTGAGTAATAAAATAAGAATACAGTTTTACACAAAAAAACCAGCAGCGATTTCCATAAACTGGTCATTGGTAGCGTGGCCTCGCTGGTCGTTCGGTCGCAGAATTCAGAACTGCAGCAGAACATTTTCCCGTCTCCAGTGAGATCCCACCTTAAATCGAAACTGATTCTAAAATTCTGTTTCTCTGATCTTAGAAGTGGTTTGTGAAACCCAACAGAACGCTCCACCTGCTGCGTTTATTTACTTTATCATCTTCGGACACTATTGGGAGGAAACCTGTGATTGTTGACGTGCTTCTTAGTTTTTATTGATGATGCTGCTTTTGATTTGGTTCATAAGTTACATTTTACTTTTGTCTACTGAGCCGGAGGAAATGAGGACATAAAAAACTGCCTGGTTTCTAGAGGAATCGCACGAGACTGATTTAGCTTCTGAACGGACCAGAAGTTCTACTTCCTGAGTAACGTTTCCTGCCTGCCATGAATTATAATCTGTTTTTCTTTAAATTCATACACATTTATTAATTAAAAAGTATCAAATATAACAAATATATTAACCTCAGACTGCTCGTATTTATTAAAAGTACTTCAAAATAAATCTGAATGATTGTTTCTTGCAGTCACAGTAAACACATGTTGATTGTTGTTGTTTTGACAACAGATACTTTAAATTTTCTCTAAACGAGGAAAGAAAATGACAACTCTCCGTGTGGAGCTCAGAGTCCGTGGATCTTTGGTTTCTGGACGGGGTTCCGGCTGTACAGCAGCATGTAGGCGTGCGGTGATGGCACCAGGTTGTCCTGGACCTCCCGGACCACGGAGTCATCGAAGCAGAACCACATCCGGGTCGGGGCGTTGTAGCACACGGCTGTGTAGTGACCCATGTTCAGGTGACCTATGTGGTTCTTCAGAAGACAATCCAAAGTCAACAAAACCATCAAGTCCAGTTTCTGCCAAACTCAGAAATCTAAAACCTTCAAAAACGTTTTTTTAAACTACAGTAGTCCCTCACTACTTTGCGGTTCGACTTTCGCGGACTCGCTCTTTCGCGGTTTTTCAACATAAGATTGTACACGACACACTATTGTCAACTTTAATATTATTCACATGATTGGGATGGAACGGGATAAAAAGTTAACAAAAAATAAAAATATACTTTTAACAGGTGCAGCAATTTTCCAGTTTTCTTTCAATAAGCCTACGCTGTAACGCCACTCAAAAGAACTACACTTCCCAGAAGCCAACAGTGCTTGAGGCCACTGCTTTCTGTCAAAACAGCAGCAATGGAGGGATAGATTTGCAACACACAAGTAATTATCTGTTAAGATCACAGAACTGGCAGGAAAGTCGCAAATAATCCTGAAGCTTCATGAAGCTCAATTATCCAGGCGCACATCAACCTGGACGGGGCGGTGCTGCAAAGAAGGTCTTCAGAACCAGAACCGAGTGGATGGACTGCATAGCTGGTGAGTACCCTTATAAAATCTTGCGGTAATGTACAGTACATAAGCATGTTGTTAAGATTACGTAGGTTTAACCTCACCTCAGGAGGTGAGAACTGGAACATAGACAGACCAGTAAATCCAGAGCTTTGCCTGTAGACTTTGATCAGCATGATGGATCAGTGGTTAGCTTTGTAGCCTCACAGGAAGAAGTCCCTGCTTTGGACCTGGGGGTTACTGTGTGGAGTTTGCGTTTTCAAGAGTTTTCTCTGGGTACTCCGGTTTCCTCGACCTCCAGTTTAAAAAAGTTCTGTAATCTCAGTGAGACTGTCCTGGCTAAATAAAGGTAAATTTTCTTCACCATGTCAGACTGGAGCAACACCCTCATTACTAGACCCAGAGCAGGTACCGGCCTGTGACAAACGTCATAACATTAAATAATAACGTGATGAACTCCAGCAGCAGCTTCTAATATTTTCTGAGGACTCACCACGACGGCATAAAGGTGGTATGAGGAGTTGTGGGCGGAGCTGGACAGATACGGGCCGAGGTCGAGCTTCATGGAGAACAGAACGTTGGTCCTCAGTTTGGCCTGACTCTTTCCTTTACAGCCGAACCTGCAGACATGAAGATCACGGGAAGGTTGAAACTTCTGCCTGACTACCTCCAGCTCAGGACTGCGTTTTGAAAGAAGCTAATCTGACAAAATGGCCGACGACTTAGAAACTGTAGAAGAAGAGGAAAGAGAGCCGGGAGCAAAAGAAATGTCAAAGCTCCTGCCAGAGGCTCATTGTTACCCTGGTAACCACACACCTGTTTCTGTCACTCCCTGACCTGAGGCTCATAAGACAGGCAGGCAGAATGATGTAAGACTCAAACAAAAGGAACCACGAGCATCAGGAGGTTCTGATGTTCAGACATCATCCATCCATCATTTGTCCAACATCCGTCCATCATCCGTTTAACATCATTCAGCCATCATCTGTCCATCCATCATCTATTCAACATCATCCAACCATCA